GCCCAATTTGATCTTGTGCTTGACTGCATGGCTAACTACAGATGAGTTGAAGAGCTCAGTGAAACTTTACGGCAGATAGTTTCTTTGGCCCTAATGATCTAAAAACTCAACTAGTTGATGGATGATTATACAGGGGGGCAAATCCACATTAATAAGATTAGATTCATCTTTGTCATTGAACAGTACAAGTACAGTAAAACGAAATGCCATCCAACCAGAATAGCAAAAGAGCAGTGCAAAAATGATATGCAGGGCAGTGTGTCAATAAGACAATGTATGACTCGAATGAGATGGAGTACAGTGTGAGGATGTGCAATTGACATGGATAAGTAAATGTGCAGAAATTCAGTTCGACAATGTAGCAAATTGCAAATGTGCAGAGGGCAATACAAGAAAACATCGGTGCAAGTGGTAAATGGATTGTACAACAGTGAGCAATGTACAAACGGCAAATATAATAAATCACCTAGCAGTGTGCAGGGCAAGAGGTAGCAAGTGCACAAAGAGTACAAACAGAATGTATTGTGAAAATGGCCAATAAAATAAATAGGGTAGCAGTGTGAATGCAAGGTTACCGAAGGGTCTAAGAGTTCAGCAAGTTAACAGTAGTTGGGGAGAACTGCTGGTCAGGAAAAAGTGGGGGCTAATAGCCGAGAGAGCACTCAAAACGGCGAGAGACGTGTGGCCAAACAGGGGAGAGAGGTGCAGGCATATTCCACCCAGACTAACTGGCAAACTCCAGGTGGTGGGTTTGGAAGAGGCCAGGCAGTGCAGGGTAGTCTCCATGTCCTGGTTGGCTCGCTCCGACGACTTGTAAAAGGGTCTGCAGCCAACCGTAAGATATTCCACATTGGCGGAATATGTACGAAAGTTGATCGTTTAAAATTTACCTGATGCCGCCTCATCCCAGACATCACATAAGCGACATGACGATATTCTTCGTAGGAAACAGCTTACTGCATTGACTGGAATTAACTCATTATTTTCTACAATACTAAAACTAACTTGTGATAGTTTGGTAGTATATGGTTTTACTTTTTAATGTGCCACCTTACTTTTGGATAACAGCCTGGTCCTTCCGACGCTAATAGTTTTATTGGCATTGCAAAGACGCACAAGGCACCACAAGGCGCCATCTACCGGTCATTGTGTGTCAGCAACTCCCTCTCATTCAAAACATGTGTGGGTCAAATGACTCGTGCAGCGCTTCTAGAATGCTTTGGCACTTCCTGTGTTAAGTTTAGGAAGCATAATTCCCCCCCATTCATATGTTATCCATTTCTTTAGCTGCACAACTGTACGAGCCTTTGTTGCCTTAATTTGCCCTACATAATGCACCACACATTTTCAATATGAGACAGGTCAGGACTGCAGACAGGCCAGGACTGCAGACAGGCCAGGACTGCAGACAGGCCAGGACTGCAGACAGGTCAGGACTGCAGACAGGTCAGGACTGCAGACAGGTCAGGACTGCAGACAGGTCAAGACTGCTGACAGGTCAGGACTGCAGACAGGTCAGGACTGCAGACAGGTCAGGACTGCAGACAGGTCAGGACTGCAGACAGGTCAGGACTGCAGACAGGTCAGGACTGCAAACAAGTCAGGACTGCAGACAGGTCATGCTAGCACTCAAACTATCTGCTTACGCAACCATGTCCTTGTTATCCAGGGAGAATGTGGTTTGGTGTTGTCCTGCTTGAAAATGCAGGAACGTCTCTGCAAAATATGTTTATATTAAAATATGCAATTTATCAGTTTATCAAATACCATGTCTTTAATCAATTTTTCTATTTAAATGCAAGTCAATGTATATTTGTTTTTTATTAGCATTTTCCAAACTGAGCAACTTATTTGAAGTTGGGGTTTTTGTTTCTGGTTTTAATGTGATCTCTATACAAATATGGTGCCATTACTGAGATTAATAGCAAATCTCAGTAGACACATTTCTGACATCACATACCTAGATCATATAACTTGCTTATTGGGACATGTTTTGGTGTATCACAGGCACACCAGCCTATTCATGAAGCCTAACACTGTGCCCAGTGGGCGTGTATGAGAAGATATGAACTGTGATGAACATTAGGGCTCGTCAGGTCAAGCCAATAAAGGGACTTCCAGCGGGGCGAGGAGGACACTGACCTGTAGGTATAACTGTATTATTTGTTTATTTTAAGCAGAGAGTGAGGGTCACACAGCATAACCAGCCTGCTGATAGAGACAACAAGCTCATGATTTCTGTGGCGTTAACCTGGGGTTGTAGCTCATTTAATCATTTGTGTATCAGTTTTTTGTTCAAATGAATGCCCACTTCTGCTCAGTGTTGTGTCACTGTTCTCTATCCAGCTACAAGTCATAGGACATACAATACACAGAAAACCAATTAACAGCAGACTACCCGAATGCTAATAGGGAAGGGTTCTCAACATGCACAGCATTGACACAAATTCATTGCCAAAAAAATTTAGGAAACACTGACATCACATGTCGAGTACAGATCAAAATCGTTTCTGTACATTGTGTAATTTGTCAAGAACAAAATGACATAACAACAACTTAACTCACCAACTACACTGAGAAACCAACCTACCGAAAATCACAGACTGTTCCAACGGGCGTGAATTTTATCACAGCTACTCAATGTGACTCAGTAGTGTGTGCGGCCCCCATGTGCCTATATATACTCCAGACAACTCATAATGTGACTCAGTAGTGTGTGTGCCCCCTACATGCATGTGTGCACTCCAGACAACTCATAATGTAACTCAGTAGTGCCTGTGGCCCCCTACATGCATGTGTGCACTCCAGACAACTCATAATGTGACTCAGTAGCATGTGTGGCCCCCACGTGCCTGTATGTACTCCAGACAACTCATAATGTAACTCAGTAGCGTGTGTGGCCCCCACGTGCCTGTATGTACTCCAGACAACTCATAATGTAACTCAGTAGCGTGTGTGGCCCCCACGTGCCTGTATGTACTCCAGACAACTCATATTGTGACTCAGTAGTGTGTGTGGCCCCCTACATGCATGTGTGCACTCCAGACAACTCATAATGTAACTCAGTAGTGCCTGTGGCCCCCACATGCCTGTATGTACTCCAGACAACTCATAATGTAACTCAGTAGTGTGTGTGGCCCCCACGTGCATGTGTGCACTCCAGACAACTCATAATGTGACTCAGTAGCGTGTGTGGCCCCCACATGCCTGTATGTACTCCAGACAACTCATAATGTGACTCAGTAGTGTGTGTGGCCCCCACGTGCCTGTATGTACTCCAGAAAACTCATAATGTGACTCAGTAGTGTGTGTGGCCCCCTACATGCATGTGTGCACTCCAGACAACTCATAATGTAACTCAGTAGTGTGTGTGGCCCCATACATGCATGTATGTACTCCAGACAACTCATAATGTAACTCAGTAGTGTGTGTGGCCCCCACGTGCATGTGTGCACTCCAGACAACTCATAATGTGACTCAGTAGCGTGTGTGGCCCCCACATGCCTGTATGTACTCCAGACAACTCATAATGTGACTCAGTAGTGTGTGTGGCCCCCACGTGCCTGTATGTACTCCAGAAAACTCATAATGTGACTCAGTAGTGTGTGTGGCCCCCTACATGCATGTGTGCACTCCAGACAACTCATAATGTAACTCAGTAGTGTGTGTGGCCCCATACATGCATGTATGTACTCCAGACAACTCATAATGTGACTCAGTAGTGTGTGTGGCCCCCTACATGCATGTGTGCACTCCAGACAACTCATAATGTAACTCAGTAGTGTGTGTGGCCCCATACATGCATGTATGTACTCCAGACAACTCATAATGTAACTCAGTAGTGTGTGTGGCCCCCACGTGCCTGTATGTACTCCAGACAACTCATAATGTAACTCAGTAGTGTGTGTGGCCCCCACGTGCCTGTATGTACTCCAGACAACTCATAATGTAACTCAGTAGTGTGTGTGGCCCCCTACATGCATGTGTGCACTCCAGACAACTCATAATGTGACTCAGTAGTGTGTGTGGCCCCATACATGCATGTATGTATTCCAGACAACTCATAATGTAACTCAGTAGTGTGTGTGGCCCCCACGTGCCTGTATGTACTCCAGACAACTCATAATGTAACTCAGTAGTGTGCATGGCCCCCATGTCCCCTACAAATGGTGTCCTGAGGGAAATTCTCCCAGACCTGGATCAGGGAGCTTCTGGACAGTTTGTGGCGCTACTTGGCAGCATCGGATGCACTGACGCCACAGTGGGTCTGAGGATTTCATCCTAGTTCTTAACAGCAGTCAGGGTACTACTGGCTAGCATGTGGAGGTTTGTGTGACCCTCCAAGTATGTGCCTCCCCAGACCAGCAATGACCCACTGCCAAACCGGTAATGTTGGCAAGATAACATTTACCATGATGTCCCCAGACCCTTTTAAGTCTGTCACATGTGCTAAGTGTGAACCGGATCTCATCTGTGAAGAGAACGAGGCGCCAATGGTGGAGCTGCCAATTCCGCGTATCTCTGGCGAATACCAATCGAGCTGCATGGTGATGGGCTATGAGCGCAGGTCCCACTAGAGGATGTTGGGCCTGGAGTAAGTTAATGACAGTTTGATCAGAAAGATGCACACCAGTTGCCCGCTGGAGGTAATTTTATAGGGCTCTGCCAGTGCTCCTCCTGTTTCTCCTTGCACAAACAAGCATATTCCGATATCTCCGCATGTTACGGCCCATCTTCTGGAACCTCCTCCATGCTCTTGAGACTGTACTGGGAGACAGAGAAAACCTTCTTGCAACAACAGTTATAGATGTGCCATCCTGGAGGAGCTGGACAACCGGTGCCACCTGAATGGGCTGCAGGTGCCGCCTCATAACTGTACTGAGAAGGACTCTAGCAAAACACCAACCTTGAGAATGATCAGTTGTAATGATAGTGAGAGAGCAATAGTCTGTAGCCACTACCTGCAAAACCAACCCCTTTTTGAGGGTAGTCTGGCAGTTGCTTCAGTAGCTCAGTGGTAGACTGCATGGTTTGTGTGTATGACGTACTGAGTTCAAATCCCAGCTGGTCCCCAGGTCGCCGTTGCAAATGAGATTTTTTTCTCAATCGGCCTACCTGGTTAAAATAAAGGTTAAATTAAAAGTTAAATTAAAAAATGCATCTATTGATACTGTCATTTGCTCCAAAACAGATGGCAATGATTCAAGATATCTTTTGCTCCCTATCCATACAGATTGATAACCTTGAAGTAATGTTTTTGTGTATTTATTGTAGTCCGTTGTTCTTATTTGATTTTATTACTTGTGTATAACTTATTTGTACATTGCCGCCAACAGGCCAGATCAAATTCCTTGTTTGTTGTAAATTTACTTTGACAATAAAGCTCTTTCTGAGTCTGATTCTGAATCCCGTCAATCAGTTCAACCATGCTCACTTGTGTTTCCCCCTCAGCTGTGTCTTTTTCCCTCGTTTGCCTATGAAGTTTGGTCCTTTTGTCCTAGCTCTGTCAGTCATTGTTTTATGTGATGTTAATCTGCTTTTGAATTAAAGAGCTTTCATTGTGCCTACCTCTGTGCCTGTGTCCAGCCTACTCCCTGTGGACGTGACACTTAGGAGGAACTCTTTAAAGTTCATAAAACTGTATGATACACAGTCACTCAGATCCATTATGTTTTGTGATTTGGCGATGTAGGGACTCGTTGTGTCTTCCATTGTTTACTCCATCAAGGACCATGGATCACACACAAAACATGAAGTTATATCGGTCAATTAATGTCTTAAGCCAGTCAACATTTGCCAACGGGTTGCTATTGTATCAGTAACCTAGTTTTAATGTGTCATGTGTATTGCACCTTCATTACTACAACCAGGAAACACATATTTCAACCAGAAAATTGCTTGTCATTCAAATTTAGCTTTCCACAGTTTAGCAACACTAGAGAATTACTGAACGTTCACTGTGGCCTGTAGGGACTCTGAAGAAAAATGAAGGGTGATGCAGCTCGATAGGACCTGAAGACACTCGCTAATGTAATTTAATGAGATAGACCATTACATATTAGAGATACTACATAACAGAATGATGTGACAAGGGCCAGGCTGCATTACCTAAATTAACATTTTGGAAGTAGGAACATGAAGGGCCATGGAGCAAAAGAAGGAGAGTGCAAGACTATGGTCTGTGCTTAGACATTTGCCAGTAATTATACATTTATGATTGTCTTTGGTCTTAATGAAAATGAAAGCCGGTAAAGAGAACAGGGGAGGGATAATGTGGCGTGAAATTGAGTTTCATTTGCACTGGGGCCACCTTTTAACTCAACGCTTCTCCAGCGGAAATTAAGCAAAGCCCAGTTTTTTTCTGAAAGAAATGCGTTTCATTCCCTCTCCAAACTCTGTTAAGGCATGTTCATATTCTTACATACTTTTGTGGTTTTACCAACCTGTCTGAGCTTTTATGACACTTTAAGTAAATAACATTTTGCTCTCTGATTGTCTTGAGATTTGTCAACAAGTTCCTTCAACACAAATGCCTCTATATGGCAACTCTGGTTCCTAAGTATGTACACATTTCTTACCTGTAATCTCTTGACATTGATATGTTTTGTACTGCGATGGTGTACTTAAATGACATAACTGTATCAACATTTACAATATAAAACTAAACAGATTATAGTTAGAATGAATGTGTGGTACTGTTATATATTAGACCATTTTCTTAACACAAAGTCTCTTTCTAAGACGGACAGATGGGTGAACCCTTGTGTCCATAGTACTGCGTGGGTGGATGAACCCCCAAGATAAATCTGAATTTGTCTACTCTGCCATAAAGAAGAAGGGATGGCTGGAGAGTGCGTGAAAAAAGACAACACACACAGTTATTAACCTTACACTAGCTCATCAACTTTAGTTTGCAATCTTCCTTCAGAATCATTAGAATACCCTGAAGAACTGGTTTTCCAATTAAAGGGGATCTAGGAGAAAAAGGCCTTTTTATCTGCGGCTCCTGCAGTTCTTTATTCCAATCATTTAAATTTGAATAGATTTTTCAATTTAGCAACTGACTGCTACGAACAGACAGCAGAAGGACGAATAGATTTTCTGGAATATTTGACATGGCTTGTGATGTGTTTCTTCCTTTAACAGGGACAGGTTGCTGTGACAGTGTATGTTAAGCTTAGAGTAATATATTGAGAAAGAGTGTGCTTAGGGTTGCTTTTTGGCTAAAAGGTTACAACGTTCAGTGTGACCAATGTAACAGTACATTTGGGTGTTATGAATTTGGGTCACAGGTAATTATCTTAAGAATTCCTAACACTCTTATGATCTCGCAAAGGCGTATGAAAAAAAACAATACACCAAAAATGAATACATATGCTGCATGTAATGCGTAATGAAGGCTTACTGAAGGGAATTGAGTTCGTGTTTACAAAGTGTACTATTGATGTATTCTTTCTTATTTTGCATCTATACTTCAAAAGTCTGGATTTTAAATAAAACAATTATTATGAGGTAATGATTAAGAGGCTTTTTTTTATTTATCTTTTCCATTTAATAGTGCATGATAGGGTATATATTTAAAGTTAGGGATTTGCCATGTAGAAAAGCCCTGTTGTCTTTTCTCATTCTGGTGCCTATGAAGCCTTCAAAATATTATCCTACAGTTCAGTCCTTATTTTGGGTAACATGTTTATACGGCATGTTCAACTCATATTCGGTCTCTACAGTTCCAAGATATGTTGCAAAAACAGGTCTAGTCCACCATGGACGGATGGCTCTGTCTTTAGCTTCCGACAGCTGCTTTGGGCAGCTTGTTGTTCTTTCTCTCCTGAGTTGGTTTAATAAAGTTGTGCTGCTGCAGAAGTGGGGAGAAGATTAATGGACACACAGGAAGTGTGGCAGTTGTACGAGGATGCAGGACAGAGCGGGCCAGCCACCATCTGTTTGGTTTGCAGTTACAGCTCTCTCAGCGGAGGAACAAACCCTGCGCAGCATGGATCTTCTGGGCCCTGCAAACAAATACACAGGCACATCTCTCTATTTAGTCGCTTACATACCTTTGTGTGACATAGACAAAAGCTAGGGCTTTACTCATTGTCATTTTGTTTTGTTCTCACATTTGTTTTTTTCTTTATATACTATAAAGATGGGCTTCAAGCTTCGTCAGTTAAGTATAAAATAAAGACAGTCTGGTTTGAACATGTTTTGAGATGGGTTCCGGATGGGTTAGAGTAAATCTTAATCAAATGAGAATTGTTTATTGTTGGGTGGCTGTGTTTGCAGTGAAATCAAGTATAAGCAATTCATACATTTGTTCAAAGACATTGATCTGAGTGATTTAGTTCCATTTCACATTGTGTGTTTAGTACGCCTACTATTGATTGCTTTTCTGACTGGACAAGAAAGATAGCTTCAATTTCAAGACATTGCATGGCATTTTTATGAAAATATAGAAATACACGGTGTGTTTGTGTGTGTGAAAGAGAGAATCAGCTTGCTTTACCACCATCTGCTAAAGTAGACACCCAGCTGTAATCAAATCCATACATTTCCCATCTCGTTCCCGTTCTCATCTCTCTCTATTTCTCTCTATTTTTCACTCTCTTAGTCAGTGTAATTTCCCTGGTCAAGCAATGGATATCAATTGTAGTCAACATCATTGTAAAATGTCCAGTTGTGTCTATATTTGGTTTGTTTAATATATGATGGATTACTTGTTAATGTAGCACATGATATAATGACTTTGGTCACCTGTTTAATTCGGTTATATGGTCCTTGACTGGAATTTGTGGTCAATGCATTTCTGCAAAGCAGGCAATGTCAGCAGGTAGTGCTCAATGCGTTATAATAGGGCATCAGTAGCTAACAACAGTAGAGTAGAAAAGGTCGTCAGTATGTGATGAGTGAATTCAAGTAAGCATGCGATAGAGACTGCTTCTGAACTAAACCACATCAAATATTCAACAGGTAAACTGACTATAAAACAGACACTATTTAAGTTCCTGATTTGCTAGTGTATCGTTTTTGTCATTGTTGCCTGTAGCGTTTGTTCTTGTTTCTTGTTTTAGTTCATGTCCCTTATTAGTTTAGTTCCTGTCTGGTTTACTTTAGTTTTTATTAAAGATCCTTCGTTCCCCCTGCCCTTGTGTCCTGCCTCTATTTTTGAAAGTGCCACACAAGGAATTTGGCTAGCTAAACTAAAAGACAGTCCAGTACCTTAAGTTATCATATAGGTATGAGAGATTTGTGTTTGGTAACAAAATGTGTGTTATATGGCCAACAATTACATTTTGACTTACCAGCAAAATAATTACCAGCCAAAAAAATACATTGCATTTTTCTATTACTATTTGCTATCATCTCGCCAGACAACGGCAGTGCCTGTGTCAGCACGCCCTCTGCAGATGAGTGGAATAATTATCCCAGATCCAAATCACCTGATTTGTAACACACCTGTTATCCATGAACAATCATTATATGTAGCCAGGCCCGCATTAATGCACGGGCTTACTGGGGCTGAAGCCCCAGGGCCTATGAAGACAAGGGGCCTATCATAAGCCAATAACAAAATTTTCTGTCAATCACTTGATATTCATGTTTTTGGCTGCTGATTGATCCAATTTACAAGTGACCCACGTGGGAAGCATGATATGACAGCCTATCGGAATGTAGAGAAACAGTTGCGTCATCTTCTCTAGTAGTCTATTCAAAGTTATGCTAGTCACAGAGGCTGATATAAAAATGTTGAGAAAGAAAAAGTTTGAGAGGTGCTCATAAACTAAAAACATTGCGACTGAAAGAAAACAGTGAGAAGGAATTGTTAAAAAAGATTCCAAAGCTAACAGGATTTTTTAACCTGCAAATGAAGGTGAGTCGAGCTCATTAAGCGGAGCACCGATGAACAGTGGAGAGGACCAGTAAACAGGCGGGCAGTGTTAATTTCGTTATAATTTTCGTAATTTTTTTCATAAACGAAATTTTTTCATAGACGAAAACGAGACGATACGGTTCCAAAGCGTGGTGCAGCCCTGCACATAGACAAACAGCGCGCGAGGACTGAATTGAGCTCTCT